GGCCTAATATGCAACCAAATCTCACGGCAAATGAAAGTTGCTGTAGACAAAAAATTCTACCTTTTCGTGCTAAATCCCGGATTTACGAAATCCGTTGGCCGAAGAGGAAGAATTCGCTTATTAAATCCATTCTATAGCCAAACAGTCACATGAGATTTAATAAGATTTATCATGAATGTTACCACACAGTTTTCAGGATTTAACCCCCTCAAGATTTTCGAAATCCGGATTTAACGGATTTACAAAATCCTACTTAAATCAAATCCTGGGTGCTACCAATCAGCCCCTTCGTGTTGTTTTTTGTGATACTAATGTTTCATTGACTTTGGTTTGATTACTCGTTTATTTATACTTGTTTTATATTTTCAATATACCAAATTATTTATGCATGTACTGTTTGCTTCATTTAGTTTATGGACTCATCTAGTTTTGGTCTTCTCAAGGGGACTTTGATTTTGTCATTAAGCATTTTCTATGGCTTGAAAACATTGCAATTAGGGGTGCTCAATATTTGACCCGACCCAAACCCGACCCGAAAATTTCGGGTTCAGATCAACCCGAACCGGGTCGGGTTCGGGTTAGGGATTTCAACCCGTTTGTAAAACCGGGTCGGGTTCTAGTTGACCCGGAAATCCGAAATCAGCCCATTTTGACCCATTTTTAATTAATTTAGGAAGGTTTTAATGGATTTTTATGAAATAACTAAATGATATTTCAAAATATTATAAGCATTATTGGCCAAATTAAATTAATATTGATTTAATTTAAATTAATTGAAGTAAATCTTACCTTAATTTGATTTAGATTTAAATAAATTGAATTAAATAAATTTTTTTTAATAAAATATACCCAAATCTGGTCGGGTTCGGGTTGACCCTGACCCGAAGCGGGTCGGGTTGAACAGTGTCGGGTCAATTTCGGGTTGGACCCGAACCCGACCCGTGACCCGATTTTAACAGCCCTAATTGCAATTAAAGCAAAACTACCAGATTAGCTTCTTTTTCACTCCAGGAATCGCTTTTTCTAACGTAGAAAACCCAATTGAAAAGAAGACTGAGAGCTTTATGAATCATAATGAAGAAGATGTTACCTCCAAAATCACCAAGCCAACTGCTTTGATCCCTTCTGCTGAACTTGTAACTTTTCCATTGGATCTTCACCCTCCAAGAGCCGATTCTACAGTTCTCAATCTCAACTCTCCTGCAGATTCTGCCAGTAATGATGCCCTCAACAGCTGCAGCAGTTTTCATCAATCATATTTACCACCAAAGCATGAAAACACCAATAAAGCTGATTTACCTGTTCTTGGTGTGGATCTTAATGATCCCTTTT